CTCTGTGCCCCTGCCCACCCTGACTCTGCTTTCCTGGCCTCTGGAGCTTCTTTCTGGCTTGTACCCTTAGCCACATCCCACTGACTAGGCTCCCTGCCACCAGGTCATGGGCTCTGAGGGCCGCCAGCTGCTGGCAAACTCTGCAATTGGGGCTCACAGACCAGAGAGGTTCAATCTGTAGTTGAGTTTTGTCCTGAATCCAAGATATTCCACAAACCATATCTGTATGTGTGTGCACATGCAAACATGCAAGCACATCAGCTATTATTAGGCACAGAACCGTGATCAGAAAAATTGGCTGGGAAGAGAAAGTAGCAAATTTCCTTTCCTTCTACTCGGCGGTAGTGTAGATGCAGGTATAGTTTTGTCGACAAAAGTCCACTTTTGTTGACAAAACCCTGTAGTCTAGACACACCCAAAAGCTAATGACTGGAGTTGTGGCAATGAAAAAGAAATTGTTACTCACCTTGTGCAGTAACATCTGTTCTTCGAGATGTGTGTCCCCGTGGGTGCTCCACTACAGGTGTCGGGCCCGTCCCGGCGCCACAAACCGGAAAGTCTTCGCTAGCAGTAGCCCCCTCCGGAGGAACACGCATGTGCAGAGCGTCCCGCGGCGTTCGCGCCTTTTCTGTGTCGCGCGGTCCGACCCGCCAGTTCCTCCTAGCCAGAACATCTGAAAGAGACAAAACAGATCTCCGAAGCACGGAGGAGGGTGGGTCGTGGAGCACCCACGGGGACACACATCTCGAAGAACAGATGTTACTGCACAAGGTGAGTAACAATTTCTTCTTCTTCGAGTGATGTCCTCGGGGGTGCTCCACTACAGGTGAGTATGAAGCAGTCATCTAGCTGCTGGTCGTGCTTCGGAATTACTTGTGCACAGAAGAAAGAACTGCCTGAGCGACTGCTATGTCTGCCGCTTTGAAACGGTCAAGGGCATAATGTTGAGCAAACGTGGATGAAGACGACCATGTAGCTGCACGGCATATGTCCCGTAGCGGTACGTTCTTCATGAAAGCCGTGGAGATGGCCATACTCCTGGTTGAATGTGCGGTTGGTGGACAGGGCAGAGGCCTGCCCCTTAGGGTGTAGCAACGAGTGATGCAGTTAACGATATGTGCTGAAATACGTTGTGACGACAGTTGATGACCTTTAGAGCGATTCGCTAGTGATAATAGTAATCGTGGGGACTTCCGGAAGGGACGCGTTCTGTCCAAATAGAATGCCAATGCCCTTCTGAGGTCTAATGTGTGCCAGCGGGCTTCCTCAGGTGTAGCATGTGGTTTGGGGTAGAAGGTAGGAAAGACTATAGGCTCATTGATGTGGAATGA